TATAATAATATGCATTATTATAATAGCTTGCTAGTAAAGAATGTAATTCTTCTAGAAGATTTCTTTTTTTTATCAGCCCTAGTAATTCTTCTGGAAAAAGTTTTGAACCAGTATCTGAAATTTTTTTGACATTTACAAATATTGAAAAAAACTTTCAGTAATCATTTCTGTTATATATAACAAGACTGCTTTTCATTGTTTTTTGTTCAATGAATTGTAAACAAGTTTTTAAGTAACCTTCAATATTTGGTAAAATCTCATCTAGTAATGAGTAATACTACATAGTTTTAAGTAATTCAGGTTTAACTCTTCTGTTGCTACTATGAATTGAACCTATAAATCAATATAAATTCTATATGAGCTACCAGCATTTTAATATGATTATAAACATAACAAAACTCTATATAAACCATGTTACCAAATATATCATAAACATAAACATATTTTAATATGACTAATATAAACATAAAACATACCTAATAAACTATTTATCCTTTCAAAACTAAAACACCAAAAAGAATATATAGGACTATAGTTCATAACACATTCACATATATATAAATATAAATGTAAATTAGGTATTATTTTTTTAGAACCATAGGTTTTTTCAATAAGCTTTATTATATTAAGTAAGTACTGATATGCTTTTTCTAACTTGTCTTTATATTAAATCTGGCATACCTATAGGTAATTCAAAAAAGAAATTTAACAATAAAAATAATTAGTATTATTATTAAAATTTCCTTATTAAATTATGATAGCATCTATAGACTTACCAAAATTGAGCATGCCTAAACAAAATATGTTAAAATTTTTCTATTATTTTCTTGCAACAAATCCCACATTATGGAAGTTGCGTACACCAGAACAAAAATTTTCTATAGATCAGCTGTAAAACCTAAAATCTATCCCCCATTGCAATTTTGTAAGATATACAGCCAATATCAGAAGAAACTCAAATTTTTTTAGCCCATTTGTCTATTAATTCTAGATCTTTGAATGTTAAAATAGCTTTTTTAATTCATAATTTTATAATCTATTTAGATATACCTAAAAATAGACAATGTATTGGATCTATTATAGTAAATTGGATGGAATTAAAATAGAGAAGCTAATATATTTCTGACCAACAGACTAAAGTTTCTGATGTATGCTTCCTCCTAGCATCTTTAGTATTATAATCTTTTTACACAATGGCGTCTTGGCAAATTTCATTGATATTTCTTTTAACAAACCAATTAAACATATCATCAAATCCACCAAAATTTGGTTGATTCCTATAATCTTAAGCATCTATGATAAGCTATTCAAGCCAAAATAAACTACACAGCTTTCTTGCAGCTGGTATATCACTAGAACAGCATATTATTGTTACTCTAATAAATTTACTAGTAGGGCTTTTGAAGATACTTGATAGTCTAATACCGACATTACTAAAATATACCAATAGTGTTTAACACCATAGGTGTTTAACACCATAGGCATTAAACACCATAGGTGCTACACTATAAATACTAAACACCATAGGTGTTATACATGAATATGCTGTGCTACATAACAAATCTACATCTTTGAGTGACACCAATAATGTTATCAGTTAATTAATAAGCTAATAACATCCTGACTATGTAGCGATGCTACCCAAACTATTTGGGATGTCCCAAACTACGTGATGAATAATATCACATTGGGTATTTTATCATCTTATTGTTATTGCCGAAACAGTATGATACTATTTATTATGTAGTTTGGGATGTTCCAAATAGTTGGGTAACATCACTAATCTCGACACATATTTTGCTTCAAATAACACATACATTATATCTATTTTGGAAAATTGCCAAACATTACAATTAACGGAAAAATTAATAGTCGTCAACCAAAACTTGGGATGTTAATTTATGTTTTAAGTTTGAATATTTTACCAAACTAATAATATAAATGCGAAGTAATACCAAATTCGGAAAAATGTGCAAACTTGACTTGGACTTGTTAAATCAACTAAATCAAAATATGCTGTTGCAATACTTACCTTGCTATAATTTTATTGTTATTGTTATTGAAGTTCTTATCGGCTATAATATATAGAATTTATGATTAGAAATTATAAGCCTAGTTTTTGATAATATAAATCTTAAAACTTACTCATGTTTTCAATATTATTTGTTGCGAACCGTCAGCTTCATAATCGATATTTTTATCCTGACTTATACACGTACAAGCATTATGGCCCACCTGACCACAAACACCACAGTGACGAGAGATATTCTCATGACTAGTATAGTTTTTATCTATTATAAAATTTAATTGTTAGCATCATAAAATAATTAAGCGATATTGACCCTGAATTTACCCATGCCTGCAAACTCTGAATTTTCTGTATTATGTCTTTTCAATGATAATGCAAATTATTATGCTCATGACATGTTCGAGAATTATGCCCTACTTGACCACAAACGCCACAATGGTGAGATATATTGATATTCGTAATCTCTGACAGTACATTCCTATGAATGTTCGAAGTTTCACTCTGGATAATTTGACTTGTGTTATCTATTTTCTGTTTTTTGTATTTATTGTCATAAATTATATTGCTCCGCTAGTTTTTGGTTTATGACCTTTTGAATGGATACCAACTGGATTGCTAATTGTAGCTGCAACATTATCAAATTGAACAGTATCATCATCTGGAATGTTATGTCTGCTGTTTGATATGAGCTCTGTTTCCATTTCATTTGCGAATTGAAGATGCATTTCATATAATTTGTCATACCTTCCTGTTGCAATCGCGAAATCAAGGGTCTTTTTTATAATACCAAACCCTTCGCCCCATTGTTTTTTTAGTGACATCTCCTTACTGACTTTACTTGTAAAAACGTAATCACCACGAATATTATTGAGATGCGCAAAATCAACTTGCAAATTGTGCTCAAATGATTCAAATTGTCTATTAATTATTGTAGAAATTGCTGGTTTAACTGAAATATCCATCTCACAAGATTCATTATCTAAATACCATCAGCATGACACAAGACCAATATGAAACTTGGGAATTTTTGAAGATAGCATTACTGTGAAAAAATGCCAGCAAGGAATACCACAGTTAATTAACGTTAAGCAAGTACAAAGATGCATCGCCTCCTCATATAGCACAACAAAATGCTGGCTTTTCATATCAATTGATGAAACCTTCCAAATTTCATGAATGTGAATACGATCTAAATTATTAATAAGTTGATCAAGTTCAATTACGAATGTATCGAACATATCATTGGCAAACATCCCATTTGATACATCATCAGTTAACTAGAGAAAAGATAGTAAGTTTTAAAACAATAATATTCATTGCATTTAAATAACCACTATTACCCATTTTATAATTGCTTAAAAATCACAAAAAAAAACATACTTGATTATTAAGTTCATCTTCAAGATTAGCTAATCGTGCTTGATAGTGAATGCTGCGATTTATTTCTTAACATTGCAATTTAAGAATAGCTGTTGTTAAAAACCTTTAACATGAAGTATCAATTGCTTTAAAGTATTTGCCATAGTAATCTTCATTATAAACATTCGGCAAAATGCCAGAAACTTCATTAAGACATTGATACCGATCCTCCTTGACAAGCAACTTCTCAATAGTATTGCTTAGCTCAAACAAAAATGATGCACCATTGATATGTTTTTTGATAACATTATTATACAATTTAACTTGTTGGGTAGTTTGTACCCCTGCATTGAAAGACCTATATGTAAAACAAAGAACCCATACTTCACGACATGGGTAGAGCTGTCTTTCCAAATATGAAGTAGAATCAGGATATTTTTGTAATATATCTGCCTAACGTTTTTCAAAGATAGCTTCCACGCAACTATTTTGTAAATAGCAAAACGCATTGAAAAATTCATTCCACTTTTCACCTTTATATCTACTTAAAAATCGTTTTTCTAGATTTTTTCTAATATGAAAAAGACAAAAATGGTGCTTGGTGGTTGGTAATATTTCATTTATAGCAGAAACCATTGTACAATCTGCATCTGTAAATAAAAGTTTTGGCGCCAATCCATTTGTAGCTTTGAGTAAACTTTCTAAAACCCAAGAAAAAGTTTCCTTTGTTTCATCTGCTATTATCGTGGTTGCTACCAAATGTGAGCGATTATGGTTATCAATAACTAAAATTACACAGAGCTTCATTGCATAATGATTTGTTTAAAAGTTGTATCTATAAGAACTATATCATGAAATCTACCCCAAATCTGTATCTGGCTTGGTCTCATTCATATGAGGCCAACCAGGTGATTGTCTATCCCCTCAAACCTTGCATCAACAAAGTAGCCGAGCTTCTTACGTTGCTTTTTTATAAGTTCCAGATATGTACTACTTGCATCACCTGATATACGGTTTTCACAACGAATCGTTTGCATTATGTTGTATACGTTACGAGAATGAATATAATTTTCAGTGTATTTTTTCTGCAAAACCTTGATAATCGCACCAGCTCGTACACTACTAAATGCCAGTAATCGAATATCATCTTGCATATCCTTGGTCAACTTCCAATACCTTGGTTCAGCCATAGCAATATTTTCAACTAGCTCATGGTTATGTGTACCAATAATGCTTGAAATACAAATTGCATCATCATTCTTCCATTGATATACATTTATATGAAAGGGGCAACTTCCTGTTCTATGACCTTTATTTCTTTCGTCAAGTACATGCGCTTCTTTATGCTGTGTGTATTTCTGTCCCTTAGTACATGAGTATACACGACGTCGAGGTTTCTTATCAATTTTGTCAATCTTGCTACGAGTTATGCAAAATGCAAAACCATTTGCTTGAGCATAGCATTCGAAGCACCTAAAAGTAAATATTAGTAAGAGTTCATCAATATAACTTTTTTTTTTGATAACTTACTTATCAACAGATTTCCAAGTTCCAAAGGATTGATTTTCTGTTAACGTATACTTAGTTCCTGCACTTTCTTCATATTCGCTTTCCAAATCAGATTCATATGCTTCGATTACTCTTTCATTGTTATTATTATTTTTTTCTTTATTGGAATAATCGATAATATCAGAAAAGGTCTCATCATTATCCACGTCAATTACTCTTTCATTGTTATTATTATTGTTTTCTGTATTGGAATAATCGATAATATCTGAAAAGGTCTCATTGTTATCCATATCAATATTTATAAAACTAACATTATTAGCACCAAAAAAAGGCAAGTTGTCCATATTAACAATAAAATTACCCAGAAAATTGTTTAAAGGAAAATCAACCCAAAAGGATAATCAACAAAAGAAGACAACGCAAAAAGAAAAGCAGATCACTAGAGCTCTTAGAAAGGTGACAAAAAAAAAAAAAGATGTGATAGAAAAAAAGCAATTCTGAGAAAAAAAAAAGACTCAAAAAAAGACCCAGAAAGGGAAGACACGAGAAAAAAAAAAGAAATCTAAAAATAAAAGGAAGTATAAAAAATGGTAAGTGAATAACAAAAGCGACACAATAAAAAACAGTAAAGTGAAAGTAACGCGCCTTGAAAAGCAACACAGTAAAAAAAAAAATATATCGCAGTGACGTTGAAAAGTGACACAGTAAAAAAAAAAAATACTGCAGTGACGTTAAAAAGCGACACAGTAAAAAAATAACCAGTACTAAAACAACAAAGAAATAAATCGAATAAAAAAGAGCTGTAAGCGAAAGTAATGCGACACATGACACAATAACATTGAAAAGCTAAAAATAATGTAGTGATGTTGAAAAGCATCACATTAACATTGAAAAGTAACACAGTGAAAAATAACGGGAAAGCAACATGAAAAAAAAATAATGAAGTGCTAAAATGATAGTGAAGAAGTAAAGCGAATAAAAGAGAAAAGCTATTGAGTAAAAATTTTAATTTATAGTCTGTAGGTGATCTATATAATAAACATCGATCAATAAATCAATAAATATTTGTTAAATATGTAATAGTTATTTCCTGGGCAGTTGGGTATAAGCGGGGCTGAAAGTCCCGCTTATCACATAGTGCCCAGGACATAACTGATTTATGCCCTGCGATCTTAATATAGTGACCAGGGTATAAAAAATATAAATTATGTAATTATAAATATTATGTAATAATGTAATGATGCTATGACGATCTAAAGACTATCTTATGTAACCTGTTGGTGTTAATCACCATAGGTGCATTTTATATTAACCCGTCTAATACTATTAAATAAACATATTAACTAATTAACTAGAGGAGCTAAAAATAGTTTAATTGATATAATTTTGGTTCTTTTGGCCCAGGAATCAATACTAATATTAGAATATTCAATAGCTTGAATTGCTTATTATATAGAAGATTGCAAATTATACTATACAGTCAACTCCTGCTATAGTCACACCCGAAATAGTCACATTTTCTTAAGACTATATACCAATCATTTAAAGTAATATAAAATTAACTCTCACTATAATCACATGATGTAACTATTATTATGTTTCTCTCACTATAGTTATATCAAGTTTCTGCCAGACAGTGTAACTATAGTGGGAGTTGACTGTAGATGGCTCTGATACTGAAAAAAAAATTTAACGAGACAATAAAAAAAGAAATCAATTTATAATTTAAAGAGATAATACAATAAAAAAAATAAATCAATTTATAAATTAAAGAGATATCCCACGGACGACGAATTTTGAAAAATAGGCTTGTGTTATAGTTGATGGTTATAATTATTGGTTGGATCTTAGATAAATCTGTAACTTTGGTCACACCATCTAGTAATGGGAGCAATGGTGCAATAAAGCCGAGGAACCAGAATAACCGAAAACCTATTTAGGAAGTCCCGAGCTAAGGAATAGCGATGATCTATGACGGTACTATATGAGGGCTGAATTTGAACCGGGGCCTGAGATCAGAGAACTGAACGACCAGGTCCTAATAGCAGAGGACACACCAGCCAAACCGCCAGGTTCTGTTGTACCAGAGGAAAAGGGTATATGCTTTGAAAGTATGTACCAAGGGGAGGGCGTCCTTCAGGCACCTAAGGTCTGGGCAGACCAACCCTTCCAGGTTGCCGGCTGGAAGTAAGAGAGAGACCAATAAAGAATCCAGGTAAGAAGACGGTACCAAATGTGCATATTGGGGTTGTTGTGAACCTTAATAAGGGCAAGAAGTAGGTAATAGTCAACTGACTTGGGAAGGTTGAGGCTTGAGATACGAACTAGGTTATGGCAGCATCCTAAAAGATGGCTTGAGATACAAATCCGGTGTCGGCAGTATAACAGGTACTAAAGTTGGTTACAAGGGGTTCAATGGTTAGTCCTAACCCAAGTGCATAGGTCAAGCTGTGGTGTAAAATTACCGAAGTCTGGGTGAGGCACATGAGTGAGACAGGTGCCCCAGCAAATAGGCGAGCATATTCTACTGTTGATCTGGAGAGTAACCCTCTAGTAAGTTAGGGGCTGAAGGGGAGGTAAAACGTTGCTAGACAGTTACACATGGGCACCTTAGAGCAGCCGTGTGATGCTTTACACATGAATGGGGGTACTAGGTCTGGAAACTGCAACACCGTGGAAGAGGGACCCGGGATATATAGAAATATATAGACTAGGCTCTGTACTACCTTGTAATATACTTAACTGTTCAGACGTAATAAAGAGGTTACTGTTGAAACCAATATATATATATATATATATATATAAATTAAAGAGACAATACAAAAAAAAAAAAATCTTGTCACCCTCACCAAACGTTATGGGAAGATCCCATGTTCAAATCCCAGGGATGGTGCTTTTGTAATATGAGAAAAGTCTGCGATGATCTTCACTAAGGTTGGCCCATGGAGGATCTGTCGAGACGGTGTCTGGTAGCACCGTTGAGATGATTCCGGAAGGCTGTAATCTGTGGGCTATGCATAGCACAGGTCACAGGACTGGAGATCGAAGCCCGTTTGGGAAGTCCCAAGTTGGGAGGTAGCAGTAATCTTTGACGGTACTACATGAAAGCTGAATTTGAACCGGGGCCCGAGATTGGTGAACCGAGCGATCAGGTCCTTTAG